TCAAACCAAATCGAGCCAAATCAGTTTGGTTTGGTTCAGTTCGATTTGGACTATTAGTCCAAATTAAATTTTTAAAAAAAAATGTTCGAGTTTTTGACCCACTTAAATTACAAAAACTAAAATAATTGAATAATTTTATATTACAAGATTTATTGACTAACAAAGAAAATTAGGTTAACGAAGATAGACCGATAGAAAACTTAAGAATTTTTTTTTATTTTTATTTTTATGTAATGTGACTACTCAAGTAAGAAAAAAGTGCTAAACATAATATAATGAACCTTTGAAAGGAAATTTTCAGTGTTATTACTTGCCGACAATATCATAAATTGCAGGGAACCGAGATATGTTCATAAGATTAGGGTTTATCTTTTGATTTTGATTTTTTTTATTTAAAAAAATGGTAAACGTGTAAGTGAATTGGATTGGCTCGGTCAACCAGCGATTTGAGACTTCAAACCATGTCTGAACCGACCCACCATGATTTTGTTTAAAAGAAAACTAAATCAAACCAATTACCTATATCAAATCGATCCAAACTGGCATATGTCGGTTCGATTTGATTGGTTTGGTCAATATTTCGATTTTTTTTGCCCAAGCCTACTTATCACAGCACGATGGGTCACTTCATTTTCCTTTTTTGGATTAATCCACCATACACTATAAATGTCTAATGTTACTAACCATTTTATTCAACATATACTTTTTCAAAACATTCGAAAATAAATACACGAGTTAAATGTCTTATTACTTTGCGAACTTATATCTGTGTTAAAATTCACTGAACTTCAGAATGCCTCCAAGTGATCACTAAAATCTAATACGTTGCACTCTTTTACTCACTCATCATATTGCATAACTCACTAAATTTTAAAATGCTTCTAGGTAGTCGTGGAACTTTAACACGACAGACTCGATCACTCACCCATCATGTTTCATTAGTCCATCACGTCAAATTTTCTAGTAAGCTTATTTGCCTCGATTATACAAATGCTTAAATTAAAATAATATTATAAGGTAGTGACTAAATTGGAGCAAATTAAGTTTTTTTTTTAAATTAAAAAAAATGGTATTTCAGTGATTGCCACTGTTTTCAACGTATTGGCAATGAGTTTAGTTAACTCCCATTAAAATATAATACAAAGTAGAGAAAATAATTCAAAAAATCATAGATAATTCTTCAAAGTCTTCATACAACTTGAAAATTTTTCACGACTAATCTCCATTTGCAACTTGGCAAATCTGAAGACACTTACCATTAATTTACACAAGGTCAATCCATTGACAAAGTGCCAGTTTAAGAAAAACATTATCTCAATTTTTAATTAGAGTATTATAATTCCAACTTATAAAAATATTACCTCACAGATTATTCAACCCCGCTACATTGTCCAAATCTTTTTGATAGAGGGGATGACCGACTCTTACAAAGGTAGGAGTCCCACTTTTTTTTGGACTTTTTTATTTATGTGGGACCCACGGTATGTGAGAGGATGTTGATAAGTGTATTTTGTACACTAATTCGGGCCCTAAAATAATAATATTTGATAGTTTTTTTGACAAATTATATCCTAAATTGTTGTATTTTATGTTTAATAGGTAAATTCTTTGAATGAAAAAGGAAGTGAAGGAAAGAAGCAAAAACTAGAGAAAAATGGCAAAATCTAAAATACGGGGACTAAATTTGGCTGTTGGATAAATTGAAGAAAAATAAAGTTGATGGGCCATTTACCAATTGGAGGTGGAATGGGAAGTGGGCTTTATATTAAAGACAATGAAAATTAATTTAGGCCTTAATTGGACTTGCATTTGGAATGGAAGTAAAAATCAAATTTGACATTTGTTAGATTAATTAAAGTGGAAATTACAGGGATCTCTAATGTTAAAATCATAAATTCTAAAATCAGATTTGTAGCTTATTATTTCATAAATCAGAAATATCTAATTAAATTTACTATAATTAAATATATTATATTTAATTATTATTTGCCAAATATATATACGTGATAACAGCGTATCCCGTGATTTATGGGATCAATTTTAGAAAACCATCTCAGCTTCCTTATAATTCGTAACTCCTCCCACGACTCACATTTCATCTTCACGCGGCAAGATTGCAAAGAGTTCTCCATCATCGCCGGTGACTGACTCCAACATAATCGTGACCATGATTTTAACGCACATCACCTTCTCATCAGACAACAATCAATTGCTCCTCCTTTTTCGTCTTGTCAACGCAGCAAACATGAAGATTAAAGGCTTGTTCCAGGAGTGTAAATAGGGGGAAGATTACGGTTGAGGCCTCAGATAGAAGGGGTAAAAGAAAGGTAGACGAACAACATGAAAGTATCCTCGTTGAAAAGGCACAAATCGAATGGGTCAATTCCAAAATCTACCACGAAGAAGGTATTTTGCAAATCTCAGTTAGGTTATTCAGTTAATACCGTATATACAAACTCGAAATCGATGGGTGTTGAGTATTGACGACTTGTTCTATATTTATGAAGTATGCTCTGTTTTGATATATGAGTTGAGATCTATTTTTGTGACCTCATCAGTTGACCCGTTCAAAGAAAGTTCGAAATTATATGATTTACACATTATTAATGTCTAATATACCTTTGTGTGTGAAATGCACATCCATATGTGAAAATCTCATTGTTTACCTTGTGTGGGCAAATTCATTGTCTAGAGGTTGTCATTCTATATATATCTGTGACATTTTTGTTTTTCTTGTTTTGTGATCAATATGCAGATGTGGAAGTTCATATCATGTACACAGTTCAAATGACACTTTCACAATTCATATGTAAGGCAGATAGCATGAATGGAGTGAAATGATGATCATATGCGAGGTTATAGATTGTTACGAATAAGTCACAGAACGTAAAGATGCATATAAAAGAGTCATAGACAATAATATATGCACCGCACATCACATGCATTATTAATTTTTGTGGAATCACGTGGTCACAGAATATATGCATCAGTGTTTTCCCTGGCGGGCAGGTCACATATATTTATGAATAGGTCACAGATCGCAAAGATGCATATAAAAAGAGTCACAGACAATGATTTATGCACCAACCATCAAATTAATTATTAATTTTCGTGAAAACGTACGTATAGTTACAGAAAAAATATGCATTAGTGTCTTCTCATGCAGGTCAGGTCACTGATATTTACGAATAGATCACAGTTATTTAGGAATAGGTCACAGATCACAAAGATGCATACACAAGACGTTACATCCACTTCATGTCACACTACCATTGGATTTGTAACCATTCTAACTCTGTACAATTAGTGCATTATGATAGAATATTGATGTCTGCTTATATTATATACATCAGTTGGCAGAAAATGGACGGAATGTGAAGTTCGTTGCTACCACGACTGACTCATTTTTCTAGGCGAAGCTGAAGAATATCTACCCCAAATTCAAGCAAGACCCCAACGTAGTTGTCACAGATTCGAGGCAAATATGCCGAATATATGCTTCATGACGATATAGGGTCCACCCCGATGAGATTTGAAGAGGGTAGAGCACGTTCAGATAAAGCATCATCGTTGTTTAAACATCGAGAAATCAGAAACACCACAAAAAGGTGTAGCAAACTGGAGGAGAATAGCACCATCATAGAGCAATAGTTTAGATGCAGTATGAACATAATTCTTAATTTGTAAAAGCTAGAATATGAAGTGTTTTTTTGTTGGATTCTACATCGCATGATATACGTACCTTTTGTACTTCAAATAGTTTAGATGCAGTATGAGCATAGTTCTTAATTTGTAAAAGCTAGAATCTGAAGTGTTTTTTTTTTGCTGGATTCTGAATCGCAAGATCTACGTACCTTCTGTAATTGGGGCTTTGAAGTAGTCTATGATAAAGCTGTTGTTTTGAGTAATTAATTTACAGTCTAATTTTCAGATATTGCATCACACTTTTCGATAGGTTTTTGCAGCGTATACGTGTAGCGCACAGTCACAGGAATTTGTCCGATTCTTGTATTTGTAGTACATAGTCAAACGTTAATGTATATGTTACAGCACAGGTTTCAGCCTATCATATTATGTTTGTAGCATAGGTCATAGACATATTTTCGCATGGGTTATGCAGGTCACAGGTTTGGTATATGATCTAAGGATGGATCACATTATGTTACATTAAAGCGTCTATGTCTGATTAAATCAACATATCAAGCATATGAATCAACTAATTTCATCACAATGTCAAAGTCAATTCTAGTGCACGCATAATATCAAGTCTTGTAATGTTGAGCTTCAATTAGTTTAACATGCATCTTATCCACAGTTCAGAAATCAATACCAAACCTCAAATTTAATCATTATAGTCAGCCAAACTGTCTAACTCACATAAGCACACAAACAAATAAAAATAAATAAATAGATAATTTTTTTAACGCACAAAAATATAAATTTTAACGAATTTATTATTATTTTTTTTAAAGAAACACACAAAAACATACAAAAATCAAAAACTCAAAAAGAATTTCCTACCCTCAAACTTAAATTTGACATTGTCCTCAATATCTTAAAACATAATTGAGAATATAAGGGGACGGGGAATGAAAGGAAGAAGGTACTCCCCGAATTTTCCTGTTGAACGTAGAACGCACTTTGGACAACTATTAGACATTCTCCTTCATCATGGTTTTCCCTTGGTCTATGTTGGTTTGAGTGTTTTGCGACATCATGTTCCTGCATATGGCAATTTAATAAAAAATTAGAGATCAAATAACCTAAAACATGTGTTACTTAGCCCAAATATCTAATAAACCACTAAATCTCGAAGACCTAAGAGAAAACGTGGTATGGATGATGAGTCCCTAAAATAAAAATTAATCTAAATTATCTTAAGCTATTTTAATTATAGTAAAATAAAATAAAATAAAATAAAATGGATAGAAATATTGGGTTGCCTCCCAACAAGCGCTTAATTTATAGTCTTTAGCTAGACTTTGTTGCTTTTAGGCTCTTTATGGTGGCTTGAAAAGAGAATTTTCTGCCCTGCATTTTAAGCACTGGTTGAACTTCTTTTTTTCATCTTTCATCTGCCACATGATCAAGTTTCCATTGTTATCCCTACCAACAATTCTACCTACATTTGGCCGGCCTTTATAACTTTCCCAATGATCAACTCGTTGGCAATCCTCAAAATATGATGGTTGCTTGATTGGATTCTCCATGGTGAAGCTTTGTTGCTTATTTTCCACCCTCAGGACTGTCTCGTTTGTATCAAAATCAAGTAATGCCCGACTAGTTGACAGGAATGGCCTTCCTAGTATTATTGAAATTTGGGATGCCTCTTCTATGTCTAGAATGATAAAGTCAGCTGGAAAAATAAATTCTCCCGTCTTGATGAGCATGTCCTCGACTATTCCATAAGGATGTTTCAATGTTCGGTCTACCAGCTGAAGGATGGTAGAAGCCGCCTTGGGATTTCCCAATCTCAATTTCCTGTAAAGAGGCAAAGGAATTAAGTTAATGCTTGCTCCTGAATCAATTAAACAATTAATACCTTATAAGTTTCCTATGGAGCAAGGTAGAATGAAACCCCCTGGATCTTTAAGTTTGGGAGGGATCCTGTGCTGGATGATCGCGTTGCACTCTTCAAATAGTGTTATTGTTTCATGCTCGGGCATCTTCCTCTTTTTAGTCAGCATCTCCTTCAAAAACTTAGAATAGTTTGGGATTTAAAGGAAAGCGTCAATGAATGGGATGTTGACATGCAACTTTTTGAGGATTTTCAGGAATTTCATAGCTTGCTTCTCCAATTTGGTCTTCTGTAACGTTTGAGGAAAAGGGACCAGAGGTGTTAGTGAAGTGCCAGGATATTTGCTTTAAGCTGTGGATTGTCTGAAACTGTCTGTTGGTCCTTTTCTATTACTTCTTCAGATTGCTCCATCAGTTCCTTATCCTTAGTAGGCATTTGAATTCTCTTTGTCTCCTTCCTCTTTACAGTGATTTCTAGCAAGTGAACACCACTCCTAGTAGTGATGGCCTGAACCTGCTCTGCTGTTGGCTGGCGTTGAAGTCTTTGAGGAAATGGAATGGGTGGCACATAAGCTTTGACAGGGGTGGTGGATGTGGTAGATGGAAGCTCAATAGTTGCATAATTTACCGCCTCAGCTGCTAATACCTGCTCCCGTGGGTTCTTCTCCGTGTCATTTAGCAAGGTACCCTGTGGTCTGTTGGCTAATGCAGCTGCTATCTATCCCACTTGATTTTCTAGGTTATGTATGGAAGCCTGTTGATTCTGCATTACTGTTTCAGTCTTGGTGATGTACGTGACCAGTAGATCTTCCAAGGATTGCCTCTTACCTTGCTGTTGCTGAATTACTGGTGGATTGCCCTTCATCTGATTTACTTGATCTGGATTATCCACCCACGAATAGTTGGGATGTTTGGTCAAACCCGGATGGTAGTTGCATGGGTAAGATCCATTATGCCTCTGATAGTTCTGCGCATAACTGACCTTTGCTGACTGACTCATGTGAGTAGAAGCCAAAGGGCAGCTTGAAGTGATGTGATTTGCCCCACAACTTGCGCATACCGGAGCTGGATGTTGTACCATGTGCACATATTGAGTTAAAGTATCAAGCTTCTTTGTTATTGTTTCCATCTACGCTGCCAATGCTATCACTGTATCCACATTATGCAATCCAGCTATTTTTCTCGGAGCTTCCCTATCTGTTAGCCAGTTGACCTGATTCTCAGCAATCCTCTCAAATAAATTATGTTCATCATCCACCTCGATAGTTAAAATTGATCCACTCGCAGAAGCATCAACTATATTGCGAAATTCAGCGCGCAGTCCATTATAGAATAGATATATTTGTGCCACTTTAGGAACATCAAGATTTGGACATTTCCTAAATGTACTTTTGAACTTGTCCCATGCTTCCAAATATGTCTCATGATCTTTCTGTCTGAAAAGATATACTTCGTTTCTGATTTGGTGGACTTGAGATGGTGAGAAGAATTTCATGGTAAATTTTTGTACCATGTCATTCCACGATACAATGCTCCCAGGGAGTTGTGACATCATCCATATTTTCGTACCTTCCTTCAAAGTGTGAGGGAATAAACGCATTCGGAATGCATCTCGTGACATCCCCTCATGGCTAATGACATCACAAAGCATGGTAAAAGCTTGAATATGTTCGTGTGGATTTTTCGTAGCTTTCCCGCTGAACCTGATGTCTTGATGATTCTGGAAAAGATTTATGACATCTGGTCGGATGTGAAAGTTTGCTTGTCCGAACAGTGGATAGATAATAAGAGGTTGAATCAGTACAAGTACTGGATTTACATAATCTATAACCAATATAGGCTGAGGTGGAGGTGGTTGTTGAACCTGAAGTGCTGCATTCTGTAATGCATTTTGAATCTGATCTTGATTCTCAGCCATTACCCTCGTTTTTCTTAGTTCTCTTAGCATTGTTTAAAGGTCCTTTCGATTTCGAGATCTAGTAAAAGCCTTAAGAGTAAAATAAGAAGAAATTAGGTATTATGATTAAAGCCTAAAATAACAAAAATAATAAATAAATAAAAATAATAATAATAATAATTTCAAATCCAATGTAAACTAATAAACTCAAACTAAAACTTTATTCCCCGACAACGACGCAAAAAACTTGTTTGTGTGATACACGCAAGCGTACGAGATCGTTGACAAGTGATAATAAGTGAGTTAAGAGTTATCGTCCCACAAAGAATAAATTTAATTCAAGTTTACTAGTTTCGTGTGGAATTCTAGTTATGAAAACAAAATAAATATTTTTGTTTTGATTTAAATTAAACTAATCTAAGAAAGCAATAAAAATTGGGGTTTTATCAAATTATGGAGGATTGTATTGGATTTTAACTCCGCCTATTGTTATTTATTTCAATTTTTGATTCGTAATCTAATTTCTTTCACGAGTTCTTGACAATCGATAACACTAATATGTTAACTGTTCTTTTCCAAGATACGCCAACCTATGATTAACACGACCCGATCCTATTCCTAGACCGAATTCATATGAAAATCATGCATTTAGTTTAAGTTATCAATATGATTGCATGTATGATAGATATTATTCCTAATCCTAACTATACATGTTAATTTTGCCGCATTCTAGACTCGTTGTGAGTATTCCTACACTACAACAAGTAACTAACTATTCAATTGATGGCCAAACAATTCAATAGTGCAATGAGAATGCAAAATTAATCAAGTAACACACGAATTAAACTAAATACTTGTCTTGAATTAAAATAAATAAATAATAGGGTTCATTTCATCCAATACAATGAAAAACTAGCCCAGCATATTAATATATAAATTACAAGAAGAATAATAGAAAAATATCACCCGCATCATGAAAGAATACAAAAGATGTTGATCTTTACTTCATCCAATACAATGAAAAACTAGCCCAGCATATTAATATATAAATTACAAGAAGAATAATAGAAAAATATCACCCGCATCATGAAAGAATACAAAAGATGTTGATCTTTACGTTCAAAGTTGAATTCTTCAAAACTTGATGTAATTGAACTTCAATTCCTTCCTATGGCTTGATCTTCTCTCTCAAAATATAGCAATTGGCCCCTTGTTCTTGATGGATTTAATGAAACTATTGTGTATGAAGAGGCAAGAGAGAGACCCTTTCATTGCTGCCCATATCTTGTATTTATATGATGAAATTAGGTCAAAATTCACGTCCAAATTGTCTTCCAAAAGAGTTTGAATCAAATAAGGAAAGTTGCCTTCGGGCGAACATAATTTTGTCTCTGCACAGTTTTCAGTATTTTGATCATACCTTTTTCTTTTGGTGTCCGATTCAGATGATTCAAAGTGAATTGAAAGCTAATTAAAAGATCTACAATTCTTCTAGAAATACAATTTTTCCAGTTCAAACGTTCTCCATCCGAAAAATGGGTTTCAAGTTGACCAAAAATCTTGAAAATATCCTATATGATTGAAAGTCGATTTATGGTAATATTCTAATCATATCCCTTTCCTTTTTTACTCCAATTTGCATTCAATTGAATCCTATCAATCTTCAAAGTATCTTTTGTGGTCCAAATCAACCATTAAATATTTACACTTTGGTCCCCATACTTTGGATTTGCT